GGCTCAGGCCACCCGGGTCCTCCATCCTCCCAGGATGCCAAGGGCAGGACCACATTTCACATGGAATCTCATTTTCCATTCTGTTGTTTTATAAAGTTAGGGTGCAACCAAATCACCCAGAGCCTGTGTGGTTTTTTTTATTTTGTTGCTATTTTAGAATTTCAGGATGGATTCAATGACAAGATTTGTTCCCGTGTGTCCTGCTAGTCCATGTAGAAAGTAGGTACCGACTTTTCTTAAACCTGCCATGTACTTACTTGTGCTGAAACTTCCGTGGTAGGTGGCTCTGATCTGCGACCTCAGGTAGCAGACCACCGTGACGTGGTACACGTGCCCAGAGAGCAGGCCCCTAATGATGTGGCCGGTGACTGAGAGGTTCTGCCTCAGAACCAGGGACTGATCATGGGCTGAGGTGACCGTGAGATCATAAAAATAAGCACCCAGGGGCTCCGGCCCGTCCCAGTGGATCTCGGCACTGTTCTCTGTGATCTCAGACACTCGAACTTCTCGGGATGCCTTTACTGGAAGACACGGAAAGCAAAAGGTAGGACCTGAGTGCCTGGAACACACGGGCTAGAGGGCACATCCAAAAAGGCCTAGTTAACCGGCAGGCAGCAGGAAATTTAGGTGAGGCAGGGAACTTATTCTTGTTCAAACTCCTAAAAATTACTGGCTTTGTAATCTAACTGCCTATGTAAAATGCGAAATTTGTAGTAAATTTGAAATTAAAAATCTGTCCTCATCAACAAGGTACATATCTACTTTTTGTTTCTATTACAAATACCTACTATTGAGAAGATGCTTTGAAAACACAAGGCCCAGGGTGCTAATCACAAGTTTCATTCAATACAAAGGGAGCCCTATAAATCAAAATATATGAAGTCATGAAATTTTAAGGGTATGACCTGAATCTCTTTTAATAGAATCTCTGCTTTCTCTCAGTTTGTAAAACGAAGGTAATTTACATCTTTTCATGAGCCTTTCATTATGATACAGAGTTTGTGACCCTCTGCAGTGCCTACAAATGTCTTCTTTGAGGAAAGGATGAAATAACACACTTAGAATCTCATTAAACCCACCAACCCCATCATCCACACTCCAGGCCTACTTCAACTGCACTGTGAACAGGCTTTGAGCATGCGACTGACAAGGGCCTCTTACCCACAGGCTTGGCAGTAGCTGGCTTGCTGGTGGCTGGTTTGGCCACCTGGGGCTTAGGGGCGTCGGGCTTGGTGGCCACTGGTTTTGCAGGAGCATCAGGGGGTCTTGCAGCTGCTGGCTTCACTGCTGCCACAGGCTTTGCTGCCACAGGCTTCACTGTCACCGCAGATCTGACCGTGGCCGTCTTTGTGGCCACAGGCTTGGCAGCCACAGGCTTGGCAGTGGCTGGCTTTGGAGGGACTGGCTTTGGAGGGCCTGGCTTTGGAGGGGCTGGCTTTGCAGCAACTGGCTTTGCAGAGGGCAGATTTACAATAGCGACTGGCTTTGTCGTGGTGGTCACTGGCTTCGTCGTGGTGGTCACTGGTTTTGTTGTGGTCACAGGTTTGGATGTAGGACTTGAAGTAACATTATTTGGAATGTTCCTGTTAAGACAAATTAAATATTACCTCCAACTACACCTCTGCCGGCTACCTAAAAGACATAACCCCATGAGCTACATGAAATCTGCTATTGTAGCAAAATGCATGCAGTATTTTTACAGATTATATAAAGTACTACATATTTTAAATCCCTTTTTAGGATCGATGCCACAAAAAATGTATACATTGAACAGCATGTAAAAAAATCAGATAATTTAAAAAAAAAACTCATTAAAAATAAAAAAGCTCATAGGGAGCAGCGCCTGTGGCTCAGTGGGCAGGGCACCAGCCTCATATACCGAGGGTGGTGGGTTCAAACCCAGCCCCAGCCAAACTGTAACAACAACAACAAAAAATAGCCAAGCGTTGTGGCAGGCACTTGTAGTCCCAGCTACTCGGGAGGCTGAGACAAAAGAATTGCCTAAGCCCAAGAGCTGGAGGTTGCCGTGAGCTGTGTCACAGCACAGCACTCTACAGAAGGTGACAAAGTGAGACTCTGTCTCTTTAAAAATAAATAAATAAAGCTCATATACTATAAGTATATCTAACATCTTATTTTCAATTTATGAAATAAAGACAGAGAGAAAGTAAAAGAAAGAATACTAAATGATATTTAACAATGTTCTAACAATTAGCCAACTGAAACATGCACAGAAAATTAAATAAAATCAGTAGTTAGCTATTTGCACTATAAGAAACAAAATGTCATGTCATGCTACCACATTATAAAGTCTGCATGCACTGTTTTGCTCCTAGGGCTTAACATCTGGAGTATGCTTTGTTTGTATTCAGTGGGGTGCTCTTTTTTTTCTTTTTTTTTAGGGTTTCACCTCTTTCACCTAGGCTAGAATGCAATGGTATGATCATAGCTCACAGTAACCTCAAACTCCTGGGCTCAAGAGATCCTCCTGCGTCAGCCTCCCAATTAGCTAGGACTACAGGCACCCACCACCATGCCCCACTAATTTTCCTGTTTTTAGTAGAGACAGGTTTGCTTTTGCTGCAGGTGATCGGAAACTCCTGGCCCCAGGTGATCCTCCCACCTCAGCCTCCCAGAGTGCTAGGATTAAGGAGTGAGCCACAAAACCTGGCCCTATTTCTGCTGTGTTTTTTTTTTTATTTCTTTATCTCTTATGAATTCCTAGAGAGAAGCACCAGCACCAACACAGTCAGACAGACACTGCAACTCAGAACCCACTTTATTCCTTTCTTGCTCTTAGGGGAAAATTCATTACTTTGAAGGCACATTGTGCTCTGTGACATACAGAGTATGTTTTCAAGTTGATACCCCAAAATGTCAAATACTGAGTTATTTAGTTCATCCTGTTTCCCTAAAGATAAGAAGTTTCCACCAAGTTCAGGGAATGTTCCAGAGAATTAATAAGGATCAGGTGGAGCCAGCACCATAGGGTAAGAGCAATGATGTCCTCTCTCACTGTGCTAAGATTCAAAATCACTCCCTCTGAGGACACAGCCAATAACCAGATGGCTTTTGAGGTGGTAGAGAGAAGGACTTATTGTAGGAAGAGGTGAGCTCTCTCTCCCCACCCTGGAGGACAGCCAGCAGGAAACCAGATGTTCATTTCTCAGAGATTGTTTGAATCCTCATCTCATCCATGTGCAAAGGTCAGAACCCCACTTCCCACCAAAGCATGACACACCATGGTGGGCTCTCCAGGGCACCAACTGCTGACAGGATGCATAAGTTCAGTTCCTATAGCCATGAACCCCTGCCTAGCAGTCTGTCCCATTGCCACCCTGCCCCCATCTCTGTCCCTAGAGTTGGGAGCTGACATGGAGTAGGGTACAGCCCCTGCCACAGGTGCCATCATCCTACTCATCTCCCCACCCTCTCGTGAGTCTTCACAGTAAAGCATGCACATTGCCTCCTATTACACCATCCTATACCTATACTTCCTCCTATACCACCAGCATGTGTTATTATAGCGTTGATAATTTTAAGAAAATGTGGAGCCCATGTTTTGATATATCCAATCCTTCTTTATGAAGTCATTTCACACTAGGTATGATAGATTATTTAGACATATGGTCTCAATTATCCACCCTCCCTGGACCCATGTCCTTTACACTGTGAGGTAGCAGGTCCTCCCTTCAGGGCTAGTTCTCCACCCTTAAATCCAGGCTGGTCTTGGACAGGCTTTTGCTGATAGAATGCATCAGAAGTAACAGTGTGCCAGTTCCAACCCAGGTCTCCAGAGGCCTTGCACACTCCTGCTTTCTCCCAGGGAACCCTACCAGCTCACCTGGTGAACAAATGCAGGACACTCGGCTTGCTGGAGAATGAGAGACCACGTGGGGCTAGATGAGCCACCCAGCTGAGGCCATTCTACACCAGCAGGTCCACAACTGACAAGCAGCTGACCACAAACTTGTAAGTGAGCCCAGCTGAGACCAGAAGAACCACCCAGCTGAGCCCAGACTAAAATTGCATACTCACATAACTGCAAATTAAATGAATGCTAGTTGCTCTAAGCCACTGAGTTTTATGCAGTTTGTTATGCAGCAAAAGCTAACTAATACAATAGATTCTTTGAGAATAATTACCCACGTTACCCTTGGGAGTCCCAATTTCTGAATTTCAGTATCCTCATCCCAAAGTTAGGAGTTCAGTGGGGACTTCAGTATTGCCTTTAGCACAACTTTTGAGACAATAATTACGTTCACTTACACTTGTTTGTGACCAAACTTCATAGGATTCTTTGCTGGTTGGTCCCCTTGGAACCAATCGCACTGTTTCCTGATATCTGGGGACAAGTAAAAAGCATTTTCGCCTAGAGAAAAACAGAAAAAAGCATTTGAACTGCAGAAGAATCACATGAAAATAAAAATTAATCTATTAATGAGTTAAATGGATCAAATAATATTTGTTTAGCCCATAAATATTTGCTGAGTTAATTCTTTCAGACACACTTATCCACTGATCTCAAACAGTAAGTACAATAGCACTTGATCCATAAAACATATTAAACCAATCTGTTCTATCTGGTAATATTTTGGCGACTGGGTCAATGTTAATATCAACTCAATGTGAAGGAGAAGACAGGAAAAAATAAGGTGGAAAGTTTAAGATGCTTAACTCCTGACTTTTGTAAGAGGGACTTTAACAAATGCAATCAGTGTAACCTAATTCTTTGTACCCTCGATGAATCCCAAACAATGACAAAAATAATAATAATACCCAAAAAAGAAGTTTAACTCCTGAATGTCAAATTATAATCCAAACGTATTTAATATTTTCTCAATGCTTTGTTGAACAAAGCATGTGTTTTTAATCTTCTTTTTTTTTTCTTTGCCAGGGCTGAGTTTGAACCCGCCACCTACTCCTTTGAGCCACAGGTGCTGCCCATGTTTTCAATCTTCTGAAGACAGGAGCAACAGGCCCTGTGTGATCTTGCCGGCATACTTTTGCTTCACATATTTTCCCTAAATCTTTTGAGGAACAGCCCTGCACAAATGTGAATACTGTGTCCATACAAGTCAACTTTCCCTGGCATAATGAACTTTCAGCATGTACACGTTTATATATACTGTATAAATCTCCCACACTTAGTGATACTTCCCCTGTCTGCCTCTGGGCCATGCGCTATGCCAGGTTCTGGGAACCACAAAGGGCTGCACCTCCTCAGAGAACATGCAGTCTGCTGAGGGACACAGACCCATAAATTAACAACCAACAGGCCATGTGGATGTGGTTAGTCAAGGTGTCCTGACTAACCACAGGCAGGCGCTGGCAGTGGGAGCTCCACAGTGAACAGAGTAGCAGGGCATGACCTTTGAAGATGCTGCTGGGGCAGAGGCAGAGATGGTTCCAGGGAGGGAGAGGCCCTCTGACCAAAACCCAGAGGTATCCAAGCCTGGGTCTGGCAGCTAAGCCCTGATCAATGCAACTCCTTCCAGAAGCTTTCCGTAGTGGCCCCAAAAGACACACTTCTCTTGACAAGCCAGCATATTATGTCACGCATAATAAATGCATTCTCCCACACCCTTGTAAACTATTAGGGACACCAATAGTGCCTAATGGCTGGAAGATACTTGGTCAAATGTGGTGGAATTAGTGAAGGGATGGGGGCAAGGATTACTGTCTGTGTGTTCCCCGCTGACCCTGGCTCCTAAAGCATTTCTGCCACATAGCAGGTGTCAACTACGTTTGCTGAATGAATGAACACGTTCATATCAGTGCATGGGCTGGCTTTCCCAAGACCGTTCCCCGATTCCTCCTGGCCCGAGGGTGTGGGCTCACATGGAGCCCCAGCCAGGACACACGCCGTGCGATGGACACAGGACTTACTGCTGACAAACGATGGCAACAGCCTCCCAAAGCGCATCAGCGGCTCCTCGTTGAGCTCAGTCGACTTATCCACTAGCTTGAAGAAGACGTCGTTTGGCTCGCTGGAGAAGCCGTACACCTCCTTGATGTTCACCTTCTTGCCAATGCCCAGGATCACGAAGAAGTAGCCCTTGCACTTGGCCTGCAGGATGGCTCTCTGGGCCTCCTCCAGTTGCTGCTCCCGCACCTCACCCGTCAGCATCAGCACCACAATCTTCAGGTCCCGTGGGTTTGGTGCACTTTCAAAGACGTTCTCTATGGTGTAGTCAACAGCACTGCCCAAGTCCCTGGTTCCCTGCAACTGTGTCATCCCCCTGCTCAGGAAGTCCAGCAGCTTCTCCTTGGAGCCATAGTCAGTCAGGGAGAATTCTACCTTCACAGGCGGCACACTGGCATTGCCCAGGGATGCGTAGGGTGCATGCTGCAGGACAGCCACTCTGGCAAAGTGCTGGGAGGCCTTGGGGTCTGGGCTCATGTCCAGCTGTCTGACCAGGTACCCTATATACTTCTTCATCTCATTGAACTGGAACAGGGTGGTGGTCTCAGAGCTGTCTAAGATGAAAGCCATGTCGATGTCCACATCGCTACCTGCAGCCCTCCTGTCCCTGAAGGATGGCCTCCAGCTGCCAAAGCCACAGGATGGGTCAATGTTGCAGATGTCTGGGAAGAAGCACAACAGGCCATTATGCTGGGCCTCCTGCAGCAGGAGCCTGCAGCACCTGACCTACTGATGGGAGGCTGGGGCAATCAGCCTCTGGGGCAATCAATACTGTGTTTCCCCAAAAATAAGACATTGTCTTATATTTATTTTTTCTCAAGAAGACACACTAGGGCTTATTTTCAGGGAATGTCTTATTTTTATTAAGTAGAATACAACAATCTACATTTATTCAAATACGGTTAAATCATCTTAACATTTGACAGGGGGAGCTGACCTTCTTGGTGGGGCTGGCGCTAGTGATGTGTGACCTCCTTTCCCCTAGCCATTCGCACAGGCACAATAGGATGCCTGCAACCATGGTTACCACACGTGTACCTGCGCAAGTGCAAACAGCTAGGAGAAAGGAGCTGTGGCAGATAGAAGGTATTCCAGTCTTCCTTACCTCTCCGCATAGCCACACCCATCAGTAGGTCTTATTATCAGGGTAGGGCTTATATTTAACAAATGCATAGAAATCCTGCTAGGGCTTATTTTTTGGCTAGGTCTTATTTTCAGGGAATCACAGTACTAGCACATAGAATAGAAAGCTCTTTACACCTTGCTGCCTCGATTGCAGCCAGATTACAGTTTGCATCACCTAATACAGTAGAACCTCTGTGAGATGACCACCCAAGGGACTGTAACAAACTGGAGGGGTCAGCACAGGAATGAGGGCTACCAGGCTGACACATAAAAGTGCTGCATGTCCAGTCTGGGAAAATCAGGTCAACTTAAGAAGGGGGACAGTGTTGGGAGGGGGTCCTGTACCTAGCAGATGAGCAGATGAAACAAGTCAGTAAATTAAAATTGTTGTTTATAGTCTGTCATGGTACTGACATTTAAAAAGAAAATGAAAAATTGCCTTATCTTTGCCACTCCTTGGAGAAATATGTCCTAGGAGCCAAACATTCTCATTCTAGAATCTCAGGCTGAAACTTAAGCAGAGCCCACCTCCACCCTTGTTCCCTGTAACACCAGTGACTGTCCGGGAAGAGCAGCTCTGAGTGGGGAGGTTTACTTTAAACATGGAGACCGGTCGAGAAGTATTTGCACTGGTAAACATAGACTTTACAAATCTTAATTTAACTCGAGCTCTTTACACAGACCATAATTATTCACCCTAACATTTCTCTATGGAGTTGACATTTCGTAATTGCAGCTGGACAAATTGTCCTGCTGGAGAAGCACCTTACCCAGGCAGACGTGACATGTGAGGACATTCTTCAAGAAGTCTGAGAGGTCCCTCCTTGCAGGCAGGACAAGCGCATGGCCCACTGCTGTGTTGTTGATCTGGTTTAAACAAAAGAAGTTTTTGGTGGGCATGTACATGATCAGTAACTATTCAAAAATACAGCTGAGAAATAAATCAAAGTCACTTCAAGAAAATAAACTTCCCAAAAGTTCAATATCTTCTCATTTGTGGGTGGAATAGGCTCTGAGTATAACAGGAGAACAGCGATGAGCCAGAGTTTGAGTCCTACTTGAATATTTCTGCTAGACCCAAAGCAAAAAGTATTTAACCCCTCTGAGGTTCATGTTCCTCCACTGTAAAATGGAGATAAAAGTACTTTACTAATGGGAGTATTTGGAGGATTAAGTTAGACAATGTGTGTAAAGTACCCAGGGTTGCTCTAGCAAATAGCAGAGACTTGAATGTTGTCATTTCTGCCAACAGCGGCAGCCAGCAAGTGCAAGCCCAGCCCCTCCCCCTGCTTAGGTCTAGTTAGCAGCAAAGCAAGTGACGAAATCAAAATTGCTGGTAGAAGCAAAATGTCCCAGGCATCATAACACCTGGCACACAATCAGTGATTATTTAATCAATGACTAATTGAATGAATGGATGAATAATTAATGAATGAATAATTTTTTTGGTCTTGCTGAAACCTTGCTAAGAAACAGCTGTGGTTCTGGGTCACTTAGCCCACACAGAGCAGATGATCACACACAGGGCCCCACAAGACCATTCAGCTGGTAGCCCAGATTTCAAACTGGTTTCCTACTGCAGTGGTCTGTGGTCACAATGGCAGCAGTGCCCCAGCCGTCTCTTGCTGACACAGAGAACAGTAAAACCACGGAATATTCCACCCCAGCCTCATCTTATAGAGGGGAAAATCTAAAACAGAGAGGCTAAGTCTGATTATCTCACTTCAAATGGGTGGTTGGGCTGGAGCTAGAGCCCAGGCCTTCCGCCTCCTGATTGGGGTCTTCCACTCCCCACCCACCACCGTGTGCCTTGAATAGCATCACCACTGAATAGATATTAATTCATATAATAAATAAGTTATTTAACAGAATGACAAGAGACCCCTGGAGCCTGACTAAACAAAAGTTTGCACAGCTGTTCAGATTGGGGGTGCTAGGTCCCTTGGTGTTTTGAGGACCTCACAAAGAGACAGAAGGCCTCCAGGGTGGGACACCTAGGATATCTGCCTTTGGGGCCAGTCAGAACAGAGTGGGATGAGGTGTCACCAGCATGTGGACTATGGGGTCTGAGGAACAAGGGTCTCATCTTCATGTGCACCCCCCTGTAACTGCAAGATCTTCTTATCCAGGAGGTAACACTGATGACCCAAACCTCACCAAGCTGTCTCAGGAAGTAGAGGCCTGGTAGAAGGTCACACACAGCTCAGAGTGAGCACACTGGACCAAGTCTGGAGAAGCCAGACCAGATCTAAAGATCCAGGTTCTCACGAGCAAAGCAAATAAGCCATGCCACCCCCATCAGTAGACAGAGTATGTCAACCAATGCTGACATCTCTGTGTGGCCAGGGAGGACACACAGCCTCACTCAACCTCAAGAGAAGCCAACATGTGGCAGGGTCCTGGAGGGAGGGACTTCCAAACACTTGGCTATCCCTCTAGTGCTGGGACCACAAGACTGTCCTGGAAATCTCACTAACAAGTTCTCAGCCAGGCTGGCCTCATCTGGGACCTGTTAGAAGGGGACATGAACCCACCACGGGGCATGGCTGTGCCAGGAAGGGAGGAAGGAGCCGGTAGAGCACCGACCTGCAGGGCGTTGATGAGCTGCCTGTCTTCCTGGCTCGTAAGGAACAAGGGTGTGATCCCCGCATCGTAGAGCTTCAGCACAGCCTCCCTCAGCTGTGGGGACGCTCTCGTGGGCCTGTTGCTGAAGAACACGGCCACCTTCCTCATGAGGAATCCGTTCCTCACTCTCTTGAACGTGTTTCTGGCCACGAATGACATGGCAGTTTCCAGGCTCTGCTGTTTGGATGTCAGAGACACCTGAAGGTTCTTAATCTTGTCCAGGAGGACCGACTTCTTCTTGGAGTCAGCAAACCGGATCTCCGTGGTCACCTCATTGTTGTAGGTGACCACAGCCACTCGGGCCCCCCGGGGACAGTTGCTCTCAGCGATGGTCAGGTCGCCCACAATGCTCAGCAGCACACCTCTCATCTGGTTAAACGTGTCCTGGGTGACGCCTTCGGAAGTGTCCAAAGCAAAGGCCAGCTCCGTCGGGTAGACAGGGCACTCCAGGGGCCCTGGGGAAGGGGGGGTTCCAAAGACAAACCTCACTTACTGCAAAAGGGGAGCTTTCTGTTCTCAGAAGAAAGTCAGCACACCGAAATCAACTTACCGTAGCAGCAAGCTAGGGAAGAAAGAGAGGAGAAAGGGTGAAACACACGTTTGCCTGCTATGTGAGAATTTCAAATTAATAATATAAATTGTCATAGCCAAGAGAAAACCATGTACTTACGGCATTTATCTTTGATGCTTTGGACAAGGGCACATTGCTTTAAAAGAAATAAAAGAATACGTAAGCAGAGCTGACCACAGGCTCGGAGGCCATGACTCACTATGGACACATGCAACTTACATCGACGGAGTCGCCTTTGTTGCCCTTGTGACCCTGTAAAACCAAGAAGGGAGAGACTGAGCTGCATGGGAAACACAATGGACATGGAGGCAAAGACAGTCTCGGGCCCACGGGGACGTGGCAGAGGACACAACAGGGCCTTTGGACCACCCTGACCATCAACAGCCTCTCCCCATAAATTTGACTTTATCACTTGAAAAGCAAAAGATAGAGGATTTTGAGAACGTGTTTTCCCTGAAAGATAATTTGGCTTTGGAAATAGCCCCAGGTCCTGAAAACCTGGGAGCTCCTCACCAATCCACGGAAACCACCCCTTTGATCTTGAGTCTGAACAGGGCTTCTCCTATGAGAGGGGCTTCCTTTCACTTGCCTGCTTCACACACCCTATACCCCAGGAGGGGCAGGAGGCCTCACTGAGCTCGCCTAGTCCCCTGCAGGCTAAGCCACCCTGGCTGGGTGACGCCAGCTTGTTCAGAACTGGATAAGTACTTACAGCCGGTCCTGGGTAGCCGGGGTCTCCCTTCTGCCCAACTGCTCCTGGAGGTCCTGAATTTCCCTAGAGGGAAGAACAAGCATGTTCAGTTGTGGCCAAAGACTGAAAATTCTTGGCTCCAGCAATTGAAAGGGATGGCGATGTGTTCCCGTCAAGGGTCTCCACTGCCCTGAGAAGTCTCTCTCTTTAAGGGAGGTTAAGGGCCTGCTAAATGTAAGCACAGGGACAGGCTGATGGGCACTCCCCACAACTATGGGGGTGCCCTGTCCTCTGGCAGGTCAAGGTAAAATAGAGGCCTGCCCAAGAACCATTAGTGAGATAGTAAGATTTTCTATGAGAATTATAACAGGCAATGAGCCAGATTGCCGTTCAGTGCAGGTGACACCAATGCTCTAACTCTCTCCCTCGAGTAGCAAATGATCAGCTTGACCGCTTTCACCGATAGTCAGGAACAGCATAGTCAGGAAAGGTTTACCCATTCTAGGCCACAGTTTGCCAATTCAAGACTCAGTGCCATCTTGGGGAGGCGGCAGTTAATATCTATTGGAAAGAGCAACCCGGAGCCAAGAGTTTAAGGAATGGGAATCTCCTCGCCAGTGGAGAGAGGGGCCCAGTCTCGGCTCTTGCTCGCCCATGAGCCCAGGTCCCTCTGGAGCAGTTCACGTGCCTCATTCAATCCCACTGCCTTGCTGTCTGGGTGGATGTGGCCAAAGGTGACTCCACGGACTTCCAATGTCACCCCCTCTGAGACTAGAGCCTCCCACTAGGCAGCCACCCACTAGCCACCCTGAGTTCTGTACCCAGAGGGGCTCATGGGCCTCCCCATAAGAGGAACACAGCTGCAGGACAACAGCCTCAGACCACGACCTGGCGGCTCTCTGAGGACACTGGTCTGGGGCAGGAAATTCCCTTCCTTCCATTTCATACTCTTACTGGCCAGGTTGCAAGTAAAGATGGTTTATTTTGAAAAAATAATAGTTCTCAACAGCCTCAACAGGAAATCACTCTGCTACACGCGTTCTCATCTGCACCTGCCCCAAGGCCCAGGCAAACTTACCCTCCGGCCCCTGATGCCTTTGGGTCCTGGAGTTCCATCTGTCCCGGGCTCTCCAGGGGTGCCCTGGGAAGACAGCCGAAAAGTGGCACATTACTCTCTGGACAGAAGGTCTCGGGGAGGACCCCTGGGCAGCACCTCAGTGGGTGGGGAGGGAAGGAGGGGCATCGGAACCACACTTCACAGGCAGCCAAAGAGTTAATTTTGATTCACAGCTCCAATGAGTTACTAGTATCTGGGCGACATCTGCAGCCCTCCTTTATTTAACCAACAATATTATATATGGGTTATAGCATTTTATAGCTGACAAAGGACTTCTACTGCGATATTATTGTATTTAAACCTCACAGGCACCACAGCAAGTGCATCTTGTCACCTCCACTCGGCCGTCCTTCTCTTAGAGAAGGCAGAGTCTCTCCCAGGGCAGCCCAGCTAGTGAGCGGGGGACCCAAGACTAATGCCAGCTATTCTGTGTTTCAGTCCCCGGACATTCCAGACTCATGCCAGAACAACGGTGACGTTTCACCTGCAGGGAGCATTTACCTTTGGTCCTGGGTAGCCAGGGAATCCTCTTTCTCCCTATAAAAGATAAATAAATGGCTCAATACTTGTTTCCAATTTAAATTCATCTAAAATAAATTGATCTTAAAAGAAAAAAAAATGTCTGCAGAGTCATCAAAAGAAAACCATCACTCAAATGCAGTAAAGGTAAAGGAATGGCTCTTTAAAAGCCGGCACGTCAGAAGTAGCTCCTGCAGCAGGAGCTCATCAGGAATCCTTCACAGATACGTACTTTCTTGCCTCTGCGTCCTTCACTGCCAGCTCCATCGCGCCCATCATCTCCCTAAGAGTGAGAAGGAGACGTTACTGCAGGTCCCCATGTCAGCCACACCACGCCACCACCTCTGCCCCGCTGCTGCCCTGTGGAGGGGCCTTGAGTCCCTGAAATGTTTCCAGGCCAAGGTTTCCGCTCCAGCCCCATCCTCCCAAGTGTAAACAGGCCACGTGAATAGGAATTGGGCTCAAAAGACTCCTTTTGCCAAATGGTGGCAGTGCATACAGATACGTGGGTCATTATGAAAGTTTTGAGATACACAAAAATCAAGAAATGTAAAATCCACACAGGCAGAAACAAATGGAGCCCTCCCAGCAACACCGATGAGCCAAGCAGGTGAAATGATGGACCACGACACAGTCTGGCTCAAGACTTCCCAAGTGACCTACGTACAAAGACCATCCAGTGGCTCCTAGACACGCTTGGATTTCAAAGGAATCTCCAAGAGTCTCCAGTCCTGTGCACCTGTGAGTCTCTGAGGCTACTTCAGAACAAGAACACTGAACTGCAACTCAGCCTCCCACGGCTCTCGTGAGTGATCTGTGCCCAGGGCTCACCCTCCCCACACTCCTTTCCTTCCTTCCCCGTCACCACCTCAGACCCCTCCCTGTGCACTGAGATGTGTCCCTGTCTCTCTCCCTCAGGGAGCATCCACAACTGGACACCATTAATTATTTCACAAGAACCAGCAGAATTTATGTGACACACACACTAATATCCCTAAAACACGGGGGCAATCACTGCTTAGTTCATCTACAGTTTTAAACAGATATCAACATCTAAAAAGCCCCCAGCTCCCTGGTCCCCACATTTATGGAGGCATGATCAGGAAGAGAGTTCCTTCGATGATATAAATAGATTCTACACTCTCATTTGTTTCCTCCTGTGCTTCTGAGACTTAAAATAATAGAACACGATCTTTTGAACTTCAGTTATCTGCAAAGAAGAAACCCAGGGGGAATATTTTAAAGCTTGGGGACTGCAACAGTCTGATCGCCCAGTGCGTGTACACAGCATTTGGATACAGTGACCAATTCTAGAAAAATCCCCTGTGGACTGTGGGTTTCTTTTCCCTACATAGAAATACACTTGACAAAATCCTTGTTAATGAGCAGTTAGGGTGTTTTTAAATAGCATTCTCAAAAATTAGTTATTGAGATTGTAATTTTTATTCTTACGACATCTCACTCAAAAGCAATTGTTTCCGTCTGGATTGAGACCTTATCATACCCAATCCCATTTTAACCCAAGGACATTCACTTCTTCCCAGAAAAGCTCTAAGCTCACAAAGCCTTTGAAACACCCAAAATGAAGATTGCCTGAGCTTCAGTACACCAGGAAAAATGTCTTCCCACTGGCCACATCACCCTCACCTGACCAATGACACACGACTAACTTATTCTGAAACTCATACACAGCTGGTAAGCGGCAGGTTTCACTGTTTCCAAATGGCACCGCCAGTATCACCAGAAGTCATGCTTAGGGCATCACCACTTAGGTCCCTCTCCTGGTCTCCTGCACCTTCCAGTGAAGACTTGGGACCAGCCCAGACCCCACACACACAGAACCTACCGTCTCCCCGCGAGGGCCACGGCTCCCAATTGCTCCCTTTGGTCCTGGCTCCCCAGGTTCACCCTAGACAGAAAAACAGCACTGAGACCGAGCCTGAGGAGGGAGAACAGCACTGAGACTGGGGCCCGAGGAGGGAGAACAGCACTGAGACCAAGGCCCGAGGAGGGTCAGCAGAGCCCAGCTCTGTGCCAAGTGAGTGCTGCCTCTGAGTGTCCCGTGAAATGACTTTCTAAATTGCAGTGTTCATGTGTGGACTCCAGGAAAAGGATCCAGGAAGGCTTGTGATTGTCCTTCACAGCATGGCACGGGAGACAGGCTGGTAGGAAGAGAGAGGGGCAGCCAGGAGGAGAAGGCGTGAGAGGTGGGAATGTGAATTCAGTGTACAGCCCGACCCCAGCAGTGCAGCAGAGAGACCACTGAGGAGTCACATGGACACAGCTCTTTTATTGGGCAAACACTCTCTCCAGACTGGTGATGACAGAATGTAGTTCTTTTAGAGGCTGGAAGGAAGCAGGTTCCCAGCCTGCATTTGTATAAAAACATGTCATCCAGAACATCAGGCTCTGGGTCTCTTGGAGGATCTAAACAAGGTCAGCAGGGCCACTGTTCGTGCACTGCCCACGGTCAAAGACTGTGCATCCCACATGATGCTGAGATGGTGCCAAGCACTGCCCCACTGCCCTGACAGCTCAGAGGACACTGCACCATGGGCAAAGGCCAGGGCAAGAGGGGATTAGATGATTGGCCAGCAGATAGTGGGCTCTGAGTATGGACACTGCCAGGGATGGTCATCTCACTGGCCCAGCTGGCTATAGAGGGGCTGGTATGGAAACCAGCCCCGGTGAGGAGAAGAGGTGAGCAAAGGAACCCTGAGGCAGTGGATAGACTGACAAGGAGAGGGCAGGGCTGTGTGCACTTGGCTGGGTCCCTGTCCTCGGGAAAGCTCCACCTGTCTCCAGACAAACCTTTCTTCCCAGGGGACCGATTCTGCCACGTTCTCCGGGGGCACCGGCGCTCCCTCCAGCTCCCTGGAGCACAAGGAGAGGAGGGTGTCAGTGACGTCTTCGGCTGTTTCGCAAAGGCATCTCTGAATCCTGCCCACCCCACCCCCAGGGAGGTCGAAGTCCACTGAGGTGTGTGACCCTTCTTGACTGAAAAACCCCAGCACTGAGCAATGCACGTGGGGCTGCAGAGTCGCTAGAAATGGCTCGTGTGAATTTCAAACATCAGCGTCACCTCACAGCATCAAATCAAAGCAGACTGTAGCTGTTAATGTGCATATTGTAGGTTCCTGATGGGACAACGAGACCCCAGATTTTATGTGACTTGTTTTCCCTTCCCATTTACAGTCCCACCATGAGCACCTGATGTTACAGGCACATAAATGCCTGTTGGGTGAATTAATAAATCAATGAATGAAATTAACTGGTAAATGTGGTAAAGCTTACACAGCCCAGAAGTGACCCTCAGACGGATGGTGGGAAAGGACAAGTCAGGAACGTTTGGGGGCTATGGGAAGACTATTCAAACAGCCTGAGCCTGCATGTCTTACACCTCACCTTCTCGGTTAATTAGAAGTTAAATATATGATCTTGAAAAACTCACAAAAACTTTACAGGTAGGTATTACCAGCCCTCAAGCTAGAGAAAGGCTTTCCAAGCAAGATCCTACCTGCTTCTACTGTAAAATATTTTTGTGCTTTTACGTAGCATAGACCAGTTCGTTTCTAGCTTATTAGCCATGATTTTTTCTATAACAAACGAGAGGATGGTGCCCTCGAATATGACAGATACAACTACGCGTATGCAGGCCTGTGGCATCTGCTCCATCCCATGTTGCCAGAGCAGCAACTTCTGCTGGTCCTCACTAACAGCTACGATGCATGCGGACGTCTGTGGTCACAGCACCTCTTCTGTGTAGAACTTGAGGATAAACTTGGGCAACTCCTTCACCAAAGCCTGACTCACAGGGGCCTATCTTTAGGGTCCAAATAGGAGACCCTTTGCATTATCTAAGAATTTGGGTAGATTTAGATTTTCCACAATTCTATCCTAAGGCTCTGGGATGAGACACATTTTTCCCTTGCTTACCACCCCAGAGTCTATATTTGGAAGGACTGTACGGAGAATTAGAAGTCCCTAGAGCACCAAAGAAAGAAACTCTAACTTCCTTGAGGCAAAGTAGCCAGTAAGTGGGAGGGCTGAGGTTAGACACAGGGTCTGTGTTGGCAGAGAGGAGGGCTAAGGGAGGGCGGTCTGCAATGGTGATATTGGACAAACCCTTAACCTGCTTGCCCACATGCGTTCTGTTTAGCAAAGAGCATGAGGGTATGACAGGGACAGGCTCACCCGAGGACCAGGAATGCCTTGTTCTCCTATCAGGCCTGGAGGACCAGTGGGACCAGCCGAGCCCTGCAGAAGGAAAGAGCATTGTAAGAGCTACTGAGGCGACTCTGCGAGGACCCCAGGGCCCAGAGCCTCACTTCTGTTGGCCAAAGAGACCCTCAGAGACCATGAATCTTCCATTTTAGCAGCAGCTTTAATCCAGAACACAAATGGGAAAGTTAGTTTAAAAAATATATGAGAAACAAGTATTCAAACAAAAACTTATGCATGAAATTCATAGCAGCATCATTCACAGGGCCAGATGTCCATCAACCACCCAGTGAACAACCCGATTGTGCTGCACCCGTACAAGAAAGCTCACTCAGCCACGAAGGCAGCGAGGTCCTACCACCTGCCACGGCACGCCGACCCTCAGGACGCTCTGGGAAAATCCCAAACACTACCGGCCACCCGCTAAATACTCCACTTGCATGGAATGTCCCGAATAAGCAAATCCACAAGATTGGCTGGTGGCCGCCCAGGGTGGGGTCAGGGTGGTGGGAGGGACTGCTCGTGTGTTCAGCATCTCCTCTGGAGATGAGGAAAACGTTTTGAAACTGGACAGAGGTGATGGTTGCACAATATTGTGAAAGGATTAAATGCCACTGAATCACTGAATTGTTCCCTTGAAGACGGTTAATTTTGTGTTATATGAACATCAATTTATAAAAAGAACATCTCCCGAGGCACATGGCTCGGGGCACACTGACCTGGGCACCTCGGGTTCCCTGCTCTCCCTCGAAGCCGGGCTGGCCTGGATTGCCCTTGTTGCCCTTTGAAACAAGAGAAGGCATGGAGAGGAGTCAGCATGGCTCATGTCAACATCAGCTCTCTGTTCCACAGTCATCTCTGGATTAGGACTTGGAAAGCAACCAAGGAATGCACAGCTCACTGGGGTTACAGATATCCACATGGTGAGCCCCGGCGGGACACTGAGCGTGCAGGGCCAGCCTTTGCTGCACGTCCCAGCTGGCAGCACCTTCTCAAGACGGCTTTATGAAATGGGGAATCTGTAGACCTAAACCCGCCTTGCATAGGGAGAGGACTGGGACACCAAGGAGCTGGGTCTTGCTGAGGGCCCGACGAGTGTGCACACTCTGGAAGGGAAGTGTCCCAGATGCTATCTCCTCAGGCATTTTTTTTTTCCTTTTACCTCCAAGTCTCCACTGGGGATCATTTTCACCAGGCCTTATACAAGAGGCCAAGTTCAAGGAGATGCTGCTAGTTGAGCCACAGGTGTCTCAATAGCCCCAGGAGAGAGTATTTTTTAATTTCTGGGCTGGATGGCATCTGGGCCATTTGAGGAACAGTCCCTGCAAGCTCTGTTGCTCACAGAGTGAGACAGTCACCAGGCTGAGAGGCTTACCTTAGCTCCTGCAGGGCCCCTTCGGCCAAAGCCACCCTGAGGAAGAAAAAGCCACACAAACCGTGAGGGAAGAACGGGGTCTGGCTCTGAGCCTGGGCCCCCTGAGACCTAGCCCCTGTGTTTTTTGGCTGGTCGGGGCCCTTCCTGAGCACCTCATCAGCTCCGGGAAACCTGGCAGACAAAGACTCCCTCCCCGCCTCATCTGGGTACAGCTCTGCTTCCTCGCTGCTCCTGCTAATCACCCACATGGAAGTTCTGAGAATCACTGCAGACCTGCCAAGCAAAATAATGACTTCTTCTGGCTGCACCGTCCCAGCCAGCTTCGAATAAGGAATGTGAGGCGGGAATGTCAACCTGTCTATTTTTCTTCCGTTTTCCTAACTGTGGTGAGAAGTAATGAAATCCGCTGGTTATAATGGAAGCGAGTCACAAGTTCTCCAAATTCTCCAGGCCAAATGCAACACAGACTCGATTAAGTAAAGTATCTGAAATGCACACGTGGGAACCTAACAGCCTCGTGTACTTAGGCTGGCTCATGACTTGGCAACCTTCCCCTGGATGCTCCAGAGGTGACCCTTAGTTCAAACACGTGGGCTCACTTCAGAAGTGAGCCACTAATTCCCAGCTCATGAATGCTTTCTCTGCAGCAGAAAGTCTGGGTGGGAACCCACGAGTGTCCTGGGTTATCTCTGCAGGCAAGGAGTTGGCATTTCAGAGACTGTGCCTGCCAGCTCCTCACAGCCTGCTACCCCCACCCAAGAACTGCTTTCTCCAGAGGACCAGCCCAATGACTTTCTGGGGTGACTGTTTACCACTATTCACTGTAATGGAGTGAATAAGGGAAGATCTTAGGATCAATGCTTCAGTGGAAGTCCTTGGCCACTTTCCATGAACAAATTTGGGAGGAGGAGGAGGGCTCATCCTCTCCTCCACAGAGAAACACTCTGGTCTTGGCCCTCCCAAAGAAGACATGCTAGGGTTGGCTCAGAGCCCACCAGCTCTCTGCAGTATAATGCTCAAGCCAGAGGCAGCCTCTGGGGTCCTCAGCAAAGAGTTAGGGGACCATTGGGCCACTCCTTGCCCTGCTGCAAGAACAAACCAGTCTCCCAGAGCCCTTGTATATGACTGATGCCCAACCCAAGCGTCTGCCTTGTGTACAGCATTGGAGCAGACTGCACGCACCACCATAATCTCAGTCATTTCCTGGAACCAAGCTTGGCTCTGCTCATGATCCTGAGCTGTAATCGCCCAGTGTAACACTGATGAGTATTTCCTCCTTTCTTTTTCATTATGCAGCTCAATAGCATTATTCAAAAATAAAGTTCAAACCTTTTAAATTAATTTCTAAAGTTTAAGTTTTCTGAATGTTAAAAGCAAAATTATGCCCATAATCTATCATTTGAACTTGGTGAGCCATGTCTTTTGAAAGCCCTTCCCTCAGCACACACTACTGGTCCGGCTGCCGGGGCAGCGTGCTGCTCCCCATGGGATATGGCCAAGGGGTCCAGTTCTCAGCTGCCCAGCCCCAGCTGGCAGCTTAGGGGCTCTGTCCCACAGTGAGCAGAGCCCCATCCTGGGCACACACCAGCACTCTGAACCTCCCTGGAGGATTTGCTAACTGCTACAGCACTGTTACCATGTGTGCAGGTAACAAGTCTCCCAGCCACAGAGTCCAGTCTCTCCATGCCCCTGCACCCAGGAGCCCCTGGATGGCTTTCTAAAGATCATGTGTGTCACTGTGGCTTTAGTGTTTCTTCAACAAGACTGAAAGATGGAGCATGCGATGAACTATTCTTCAACGGACATCTCTGAAATGTCTTTTAAAAGCAAATGAAATGGAAATACACTCAGAAACAAAAGCAAATGTGATTTTGCTATCTCTGTTACAGCAAAACACACAATTACAAACTACAAGAAACATATGCCTGCTCCAGCCTCTGGCCTCCTGCTCCCACATGTCCCCATGTTGGTGCTTCCTTTTGGATTTCTTAAATCCTCAATGAGATAAAACCTGGCCACATATTCACAAGCAGCAAGATAATACTCTATAAAGCCTCTGTTCAGTATGTCTTTGGAGGGGAAGGAAACAGGACAAGGGGAAGGAGAAGAGATAGAGCACCCAGTAAATTATCAGAAAAAATTTCTGTAGGGAGCAAGATTTGGGGAGCAATCGTTTCTGAAATCCCTTTAAAATTCCTCAGTAGTGAGTTGCTGAGTAACTGCACCAGGCAATGTTGGGCAGACTGTGGGACTATCTGAGCGTCTATCACCACAGATCCTCCCAGGCCCTGAGGACACTCACATTTTTCCCAGTTTCTCCAGGACTTCCAGATACTCCATCTCTCCCTGGGAGGCCCTGGTGTGGGGGAGAAAATTAACATGAGATTTTCATCTGCAGAAAAGAATGCCTAACTCCAAAATACTGCAGAGCACTCTGCAGGAAAAGGTGTCAATTCACTGGGAAGAGCCTTTGCATGAGGGCCATCAGATGCTTCACAGGAGGCCTTAGGCCTTGGTACATTCCTGCCCCTTAAGCCTTTGACTTAACAAGCACTTTCTGTAAATATCTAAGAGCATAAATTCTGCCAAGCTCAGTAATGGCTGCTCTGGTTCCCCAGGGAGACTCCCCCAACAGGCACCCTCAGTTGACTTCACAAGGCCTCCCTGCTCCCGATCCCACTCTGCTGCACAGCCCGTGGCCTCTGCAGAAGCTGCCATGCCAGGGTGTCAGGACAGGGAGAGTCTGGAGACACAGAGCAGTGTACCATGGGGCCGATGTCACCGGTTTCTCCTTTGGGTCCTCTCTGCTGGCTGTCCTGTCCTGACTCACCCTGAAAACAACACACAACAGGAAAATGAGCCACAGATGCAAGGAAAGCCCTGCACAGAACCCGTAGGTCAGGAAGACATTAGTGAAGGCATGCAGGTAATGGACAACAGTCTCTCCGCTGCTACCAGGACCTAGCCACGGGGTCAGCAAACTACTTCCAGCCCCATGTCAGGGTGATAGTTCTTCCCCAGGGAGGAGGACGCCCAGGCTAACTCCTGCCTGTCCTTGGCACAGAAGCTGCCCATGTTGGACACTTGCTTAGAGGCTTCACAGAGCCATGAAATGGAAAAACCAAATGTAAGCTGTCCTGAAACCACATTTTAGGAAAACTTAGAGAGCTTACAAATGCTTATCTTTATAGCTGGAGAACAAAAACATCTCCTGCAACCTCAAAATCATAAGAAAAAGACAAAGCACTTATTCCAGGTGTCCTCAAACTATGGCCCATGGGCCATATGCGGCCTGCCTGGGACATTTATCCGGCCTGCCAGGTGTTTTTGCTGCCGCTGCCTGTCCTGCTTAGCAGCCGACTCATCCCGGGGCCCGCAGTCCGGCCCTCCAACAGTCTGAGGGACAGTAAACGGGCCCCCTGTTGAAAAAGTTTGAGGACCCCTGACTTATTCTATCAAGAATTTTTAAAGTAATTTCAAAAGTTAAATTCTTCCTTTCACCCCACTTCTCCCACCCCCCTCTTCCCTGGGCTCAGCTCTAAAATAGTCAAGAAAGAAATCTTTACCGGGTCACCTCGAATTCCAACATCTCCCCTTTCTCCTTTGTCTCCTTTCGGGCCTTTATCACCCTAAATAAAAAACACAAAGGGAAGTTAAAAACTAGATGTTTCCATTTTTGTCTCACCCCCCAAATTGCATTCTCCACAATTCATGAATCTTAAAAAGAATAGTGCTTACCATTAATTCATATGCCATAAAAGTAAATTCAGTTTTAAAAAATTTTTATCTGTTCCATTAACTCATGAATACAGTGGAACCTCTATAAATTGACTCCCCAGGGACTGTAACAAACTGGTCAACATGCAGAGGTAGTGAACATAGATGCCAGGCCTACTGTACTGATACACAACGTGGTGTACGTCTGGGCTGTGAAAATAAGGTCAACTGGGGAGGGGGCTGGCTGGGGAGGGTCTGCTAGGTTTACTGGGGACCCACTATGTGACAAACACAGGTTTACTTACAGCAACGTATTTCAGGCCCTATGGGACATGCTTTCTCTAGGATGTAATGTGTCAAATGGGATGGGAGGGGCAGGCCCAAGGCGGGTCAGGGAGGCTGCCTGGAGGAAGCACCCTCTACACACGTGAGTAAAGGAAATAGCTGTGCCCTAAAGGAAATATTTCTATCCTTTCCATGGTAGCAACCCTGGGAATTACCTACCCTTCTTCCAGGGTTCCCTTTCTCTCCGGAAGAACCGGACAATCCTTTGTCTCCCTGCCAAAGACAATGATACGTGATCATGCCTGGTGCCTCTCTTCCAGAGAAGTTAGCTCCTAGAACCTTAAGAACCCAAAGCTTCCCAGACTCAGAGATCAAAATCACTCACCTCTTCACCATCAAGACCGTCCAGCCCGATTTCTCCTATTTCACCCTAGGAGAGAACAGGGCAGATGAGTGAGTGTAGAAAACTTTCTGGCAAAGAAAAAAATGAGAAATACTGGAAAAAATTTCAGTTTAACAAACAAAAATTAGCTTGAATACCTTCTCTCCTGGGAATCCTCGGGAGCCCTAAAAGGTAAGGGGACAGGAGACATCAGCTCTCCCTGCCGGGCTGGTGACCCCCCCATCCAAATGCCACAGTGTGTGAAAATCTTAATGTTAGAGACACATCCCTGTGTGTTCCTCTCCCACCATCACATGGGGTAGAGCGTTATAAAGCTAATTAGCCTGGAACTGAACACGCGGGTGGTCCCAGCAACCTGGGCAGGAGGGGTGGGCCCCCAAAACCCAGGAGAAGGGGCTCTGGAGACAAAGTCTGACTTCTAGCGGGGGGGGGGTGAAGACCTCTGCCTTCACACTTCAGCACTCAGAGGAGGAAGCTCATCTGCTGTCCTCTGCCACTCCTCCCTCCTGGCTGTCCACCAGCCCAGGGGTGAAGCTGCAGGCCCTCGGCTCCCTGAGACTGTTTCCTGGCTGCCCTGCGTTTCCGTAGGAAACTATTTCTCCATTCTCAGGCTCCCTTCCAGCTGTAGCCAGCACTCCCGAGCCCCACTCATCCAGGGCTACTTTCCAGAGAGAAGCCCAATGGGCAGCCGCTCTCTCCCCTGGGCACTTAGAAAAACTGGGTGTACCTCCTGCAGGTGTTGCTGGCCTGAGCCCCGCCCCACACCCACTGAGCACCACACACACACACTGTACCTTCACTCCTCTCTGGCCTGGGCAGCCTTGGAAGCCTTGAGTGCCATTCACGCCAGGCGGACCTCGCTCACCCTATTGCGAAAAACAAAGGCATTTGGCAAGTTGGGGCTACTTGTCATCTTGTCTTCTCGGGAGGTTGGTGGCATGGAGAGCGGCATGGATTAGAGAGCAGATTTCACTCTCAGAGCAGGGAGCCTCTCAGCGTCCTCCAAGGGCCTGCAGGGAATGCCTGGGATGCGGCAGCGGACAGGTGGGCCGCGGACGGGTGGGCCGCGGGGCGTAGGGTCTGCCTGGGTGCTGGAGCCCCCAGAGGGACTGTGAGCTCCATGATTCAGTACCAATGTGCAAGGAACAAGGATGGGGAAAACTTTAAGGACTAAAACATCTTTTACTCACAGGTCCGCCCTCGTCCCCAGGATATCCTCGGTAGCCATCTTCCCCAGGCAAACCCTGAAACAAAGCAGATTGGGTCCCAGTAAGTCCTGCGGTCTTCCTTGCCCCATATTAAGTATCTGTGCCACCCCACCACTCCCCCCCGGGTAGAATCGTGCTAAACTTCAGCATGACTTTGGGTGTTTCCTAGAATGCAGCTGCTTTTCCACTCATTGTTGGGCATGACTATCCTACTAGGACTTTTAAGGCTCCTCCTCTCCCAGGAAAACCCCTCACTTTCCTCCTAACTTGGATGCAAATGCTGAGTTCCAGCTGAACACTCGCCGAGAGGCTGCTGGTCAGCGCTGCCCGCTGGAGTTAACATTATTTTATGAAATGAAGGACCAATGTGATAAAGAACAGATTCCTTCACCCCGTGGAGGGGAGAACTGTGGCAGACACTGGACCCTCCAGAACCATCCCCACTGGGAATGCACCTCAGAACTCCTCTTCTACAAACGGGATCATCTTTCTTCTCCCTCATCCACCTCCATGTCACAACACTGGAGGAACTCCAGCCACGGTAATGCTGACCTTCCAACACCT